CAGCCACACTGCGGGAGATAGACGAGGCTTTCTACTCCTATGAAGAATCGCAATCTCAGAAACCCATAGAAGCAGTTTGACCCTGTCCCACAGGGTGGCTTTGAGTCAGAATTGGCAGGATGGCAGTACGCTTGGTAGACGAATTAGGAAAACTGACAAGGAAGGCAACTGTTTGCGCTTGTCTGACAGAAGTACTCTAGGAAGTCCAGGAAGGCTGGTCTCTGCGACAGACTACACACCTACCATTTCAGTTCACTGTAAGCCAGCTTCCTCTCCTCTCCCTCTGCGTTTCTCCCCATTATTGATTTATTGAATGGTTTAGTTATTGTCTGGTTTCAACAAAAACCCTCCCCCAAAGTTGGAAAGCTCGTAAGGTATTTGTGTTAATAATGAGTCGGTGAATAGCATTTTACCTGCCAATCTGCTCCCATCAAGATTACAGGCTTGGAAACGGTTCTACTCTGTTCTACGGAGTCTCTCGGAGTCAAAACCAACTCGCTGGCAATGATTTGGGTTTCGGTTTTTTTAAAGTGATTAAGAAATGGGGCTGACCATCAACCTGCCTTACTAGAAAACTTATGCAGTTATTTATATCAATTTAGCTCTGTACTTTTATAGCAAACACACTACCCTCAATGCACTTAAAATAGGAATTAGCTTATATAAAACACACATCAAATAATTGTTAGAAACATTCCAGTTTGGTCTACTACGAAAAACACCTATTATAAATCATCTAAAAAAGGAAGTAATCCAAATATTCATCCACAAACCACCATTATGTTGATTGCAACTGACAGTGACCCTAGAGGCCAGGGAGGCCTGCCCCTCTGGAGCTCAAAGACTGTACTCCTTTTTAAAAAAATGAGTTTGTGTATCACAGAGGAATGTAAGTCCGTTTCAACCTTGCTTTTCCTCCTTTTATAACCACTCGGATCAGTGTTTAGGGCTAATGGATAAGGAATCTGGAGGGTTTAAAAGACTGTGACCTTTCTCACTCTTAAATTATTAAAATTAATTATTATAATGTATTATTATTATTTCCCCCCTTCATTTGTGGAATATAACACATATAAAGAAAAGCATACGATATATGGTTGCAATACCCATCTTGTCAAAACAGCGACAGTATCCCAGGGAACCCCCCCAGGTATATGGTTCTTTCTTCTCTCTCCCCCTCCTCCCCTTTTATGGCAGTAGAAAGCCGCAGCTTTCTTAGAGTGGCTGGTGGTTTTGAACTGCTGACCTTGCAGTTAGCTGCCCACTCGGAACCCACTATGCCACCAGGGCTCCTATTTATCAACTAGTGAATTAAATTGAATTGAGTTGTGAATTGAGTTGATTCTGACTCATAGTGGCCCCACAGGGCAGGGGAGAAATACCCTTGTGCATCTCCGAGACTGTAACTATGGGAACAGAAAACTTCATCTTTTTCCCCACGGAGAAGTTGGTGGTTTCAAACCACTGACCTTATGGTTAGCAGCCCAACACATAACCACTCTGCCACTAAGGTTCCTCCAACACATCGTAACACACCCAGACAGTAGAACACTCCTC